TACAACTTGTATTTAATAGTGTGCACTAACCCTTATTTACAATAAAATAATCTAAGTAAAAGTGAAGTGAGAGTGAAAGGGGACACCTTTCATACTTAAAGTGGACCTATCATGCTATATTTGAATAATATAGTGTAGGACCATACCTATATAAGGCATATTTATACTTTTTATTTTTCAGAATACCAAACAGATCATGCATTTTAGCCATTCCTCATTTCGCTCAATTTAACACTGTCTTTGCATGGGCTGATTCTGTGAGAACAGCACCACCTACAGGCCTGGCATATGTACTACAGCGTCTCCAGCACTTTCGAACGGCAATGTCCGTGGTTCAGAGTCCTGCACGGGTCTGATTTTCAAGACCCGCACCCGCGACGTGCAGTACCGAACCCGCCCCGCTACCCGCACATATTACCAATTAGTTCCGCAACCCGACCCGACCCGTCGGCACAGGATCCGCAACCCGACCCGAACCCGCATATATATATATGAGCAGTGAAAACGTGCAATTATTAACACACGCAGTTGCATATTTCTCTCAAAAAGCGTGGGATGTTGGTTATTCTCTCCATCTAGGAGGACACCAAAAGCCTCCCAGACGTTGGATTTTGCTCTTGATGAAGTGTTGGAAAATGCTGTATTCTCCGCTAGAGAGCTTCACCTCAGCCATTCAGAATGTGGCGCGCTCAGAAGCAGATTGATGCGCTGCAGAAGTTATGATTATGCACGGTCCCGCGGGGGAGAGTTCTGAGGATTTAAAGAAACCCGCGGGTACCCGACCCGATGCAGGACTCTGCCGTGGCTGTCTCCTCCTGATTGGTGGAGTTGGCCCAATAGCCGCAGCGCCACTTCTGTGACGTCATAGAAGTGTTCAAATCTGGATCAGTCTGTATCAGATCCGTTGCAGCCCCTTTTTAAGAGATTTGGGTATGGAGGAAAATAGAGTGGGTTGTGTTTTCTGACACTTGGTGAGTTCCCTGGAACACCGGGGACACATATTCATGTATAAAAGACGTACAAAAGTGAATTTTGCATGATAGGTCACCTTTAAAGGGAAACTAAGGCTAATGTCAGGATTCAGCTGTTGGATTAAACCAAGTTAGTTTCTACAAAAGTTAAAGTCTGTCTTTGTGTATTAACGCTCTGTCAAGCGAATTATTTTTCCCAAAAACTACTTTTGAATGATACTGAATTTAGCTAACACACTCTGACAATTGGTACAGCAAACTACTCTTTGTATGTACATGCAGGCGACGTTGTTCAAAAATAGACAGCAAAACTTGAACAAATCCTCCTTAATGATTCCATTTCCAGAAGTTAATAATGTTTAAAAATCATGTGAATTGTACTATTTGCTCACAGTGTAAAATCTATTACAGCACAACATGTCGTTCTGTGTTTTCAGTGACGTCCATCACTTTAATCGAGCTTGGCATCCTGCCCGACGGCGCCATGCTCCTGCTCCTCAGCCGGGTGCTGTTCCTGGTGGTCACCATGGGTTACTACTACCACCTGGGCCGCAAGGTGAAAAAGACCTGAGCGCTCTGTGTGATTCTTTCAGGGAGGGGACAGCTGAGCACCGATCACAAACGAGGGGTCAGAAGGTTTGGAATATTATTTGATTGGGGCTTGGAGCATTACTTTGCCAGTGAATGCCCCCCTTTCCACGGGACCCCGCCTATTGTACCCCCAATATTCAACAGATGAGCACAGTCTCACATTCCAGACTCTGCAACAAGAACGAGAGACCCCATGGTGGAAGTACATTTCTCTTTCACTGGGCTTTGAGGTCAAGCCCCTCTTGACACACATTCCTCCTTTGTGCCATTCTGAGTGTTGTTATTACAAAAAAGGAGCTAGCAGTTTGTAGTGCATCGTGTCACCTAGTTATATGATTTAATTGTACAGTACATCTCACTATGTTGTTCATATACAGCCACGTGATTTCCAGATTCAGTATTTTGTGTTATCTAAAGTTGCTTCTTGACTTCTTAATCACATTCAAGGACCAAGAGTTCATGCGCTAATTAGTTTGATGCTGTTGATATTACTTCATACTGTTTGAATTCTAAAGTGAAGCCTGAATCTCTGTGCTCTTGCATGCTTTTCTGATACCTCTTCATTGAACACATTGAATGGGAAAAGCATCCACTGGGTTTCGTGTAAAATTAATGCTGGATTATTGGCAATGCTTTTAATGCTGACAGTTTTCTTGTTCATCACACTGAGGAAACTTAACTAAAGGTCCTATTTTACTCTCACGAATGCCTATAACACATAATCAGATTCAGACTACCCAAAAATAAATGCTGAATTTAAACATTTTTCAGGGATAAAGTGCTTTATTTTTAATTCCTTGAACTATAGTCAAGAAGTTCTACCAAAGTAAATAGGAACTGTGTACAGAATATTGAAACTACTGAGGTTAATACATGTTGCGTTAAGAGATGGACATGTGACTCGTAGAAGGGAAGCAGTGAAGTTCTCTCCTTGTTGTGTGTGCGCTGGTAGACAGGACTTTAGCCTGAGTGATATACGGAAAGTATTTTAACATTCTTCTTTACTGTAATGCTAGTGCCACAAGCCCAGCATGTACTGTGTGTGTGCAGACCAAACAAACCTGGTTCCTCGTCAGTAATGTAGCTCAGATTTTTTTACATACACCTTATCCTTAGCCTTAAAACTACTTAACAGTCATCATCACTGCACCCTACTTCTTTTAAATATGTGAATATTAGTATTTACTATTATGTCTTGTTCTTATGAACCTCAACAGGGAACAGTATTAATTAAATGGTTTTCAAAGGTCCCTTGGTGTGTCTTATTTTGTACCTATTTAAGTGACTTTTGTCTCTCTGACATGCATTCGATTTATTCCACCAAAAGAAATAGCTCAAGCTGTGTAGCAAATATAACGCAAATATGAATGAAGACAGTAGAGATGTTAATGGTGGTGAATAGATGCATTAGTTAACTACAGCAAAACAGCCTCAAAAAGGGACATTTAATTCATGATGCAGGTAAACTAAATGAGACAGATATAACCCATCAATTGACCCAAAATGTTCAAATGATACTTTTACCTCCCACTTCTTGGCACGCGACATCCCAGCTCAGTGTTTTAGAGCTGAGACGACACTGATCATTTGTCAACTCTGATCTCTGCAACTCAAAAAGGCGAGCCTAAAGGACACTTCAAAATAGTTGACTACGTTCATTTTGAGTCAAACAAGAAACATATAGTCGGCCTCCTCCAAAGGTGGTCCATATTGTTGCAAATGACCACGTTCAGCCCTGCCCTCAAAGGGAGTGGTCCTGAGGTTGCAGTGATTGTGGGTTAGCAGTTGCGAGTCCAGCACTGAAGGCAGATGTTACTTGGGTGAGCTCTCAGTTCAGATAGGCAAAACATGAAACTTGGGTGAGGTCTCCCGTCCTCCTGAAAAGTTGTAATTATCCTTTTTTTCTCCACTGTTTAATTAGATGTAGCTCTCCCAAGTGACATTGTGTGCCCCAACCTATTGCTTCGTCCTGACTAGCATGGTAATTATGGAGTTCAGAAAATGTCATTCCATTTCCGTCGATACTACAGGCCTCAAATCATCAGCCCTGTGAAATGTTCAAAGTCTTTGATGGGTGTTATTTATGGAGAGATGGGCAGTTTTTTGGGGGGACAGGCAGTAGGAGGGAGGCAAAGAAATGGGTCTTTCATCCTCCTGGTTCTCTGACGTAAATTAGTCCAAATATTGCATTGCTAAGCCTTGTCCTTGACATTTTAGAGGAATAGTGAGTGGGCTATTCATTCCCTGATGTAGATCCAACATATGATGTACTGTTGTGAATAGGATCCCAGGATGAATTGTTTCAAGTTGTAGCATTGTGTTTTTATGTATATATGTGATATATTGTACCTCAGAAATGAATTGTTATGGATTTTCACTATTTAGTTTGAAATAAAGGACACTACTGTTTATTTTGAAGAGTTGTTCCTTGTCTTTTTCATAGAAATAGCCCTGAGAAACAGTTTTTTTCATTATTGATTAATCTGCATAGTGTCTTCTCAACTACTCGCTTTTCTGGACAAACAATTCCAGAAAAAAGCTGAATTTGTCATAACCCCAATTGTGTCTTAAATGTGCATGGTTTTTCTTGTCCAAATACATTTAGTTTACTAAAGAAAACCGTAAATCCTCACATTTTAGAAGCTGGAGCACTAACATTGTTGTTTGAAAATGTACTTGAATCACTTACAGAAATAGAGTAATTTGTTCATTTACAATGGATTACAAGGATGTGTTAATTTCTTACAGAAGTGTTATTACTTATTCAGCTACATAGAACCTCAGTTGTCTACTTGAATTATAATTGTTTTACTTCATTTATTTTTTAAGGTACTGAATTGAATATAAAAAGGTTTACAAATCATCTACCATACAGATATACTAGACATATACCTACACACTGGGGAACCATAATGTTGAGAAAAGCTTTCACTCAATCAAAACATACTGTGTGCTCCACTCATGTTTCCTCTGCAACGAGCCTGAGTGTGCTTTAAACCTGTTGCATCATTGATGCCCTGCAGTAAGAGTGATTTTCTTTGAGAACCCATTATTGGCACGGATAAACACACACTAATTGATAGCTGGCTGGGAGCCTCAAACAGGTTACTTTCCAACTTCCTGCAGTAACCTTTAGAGAGGAGATCATCTAGCAAAATATACTATCTAGTTAAACAAAACACATCAATCCACACAACAGAGAGAACAACATGGTTCTAAGTAACATGTCTTAACAAATAACACCAGAGATCTGGTATGTAATCTCACCCTTTGTTTAGTGTTTTCTGTTTGGAGGTTGTTTAACATGTCATAACATGATGGCCCTCAGAATCAGAATACCTTTATTATTCCCACAGAGGGGAAATTTGCATCGTTACAGCAGGAAAGAGACACAGACAGCTTAATGTTACATATGTTAAAAAAAAGTACTAAGTTATGATATAATAAAAAATATAATAAAAAAATAAAAGTAAAAAATTATACTTTTCAAAATACAAATCCTGTAACAGTTCTTAGGATTTAGCAGCCAGGTATATATTACACAGATATTAATGGCGTATATAATAATGTATATATTACACATATAGCACATTGCACATAGTTTGATGGTATATTTAACAGCAGCACGTTACACCATTTACAAAATGGAAAAAAACACACCTTGTAACGTGTTACAGGTCTGCTTAAAGCTCTTCTCAGTGAATCTACCTGGTTTAGTCTAACACATATTTCTGGGAAACTAACCTTCCCCATACCACGTGCTCTCTCTTTACAAACACTGGGAAAAGGGTGAAAAGGGGATTGTGTGGCACAGGAAATGTGTGTGTGGCTAAGGTTGTTTATAGGCAGAAAGCTCCCATGTGTCCCTGTCTATGAACTTTACTTTCTAATATGTATTGAGTCCAGTTTATTTCTTAAGGCATAGTGGTGAAGAGTAATTTAGAAAGTAAACTTACAATGCATCCTTTAAAGGCAGTTTTACTCAGCAACAGCTTATCAACATACATGTAAATATAACCAGTTCTCATCTTCTGTTATAATTTGCATTATATGATCAAATGAAAAGTAGCCTACACAACTAACAGGCAGCAATATATACATACAGTAGTCAATATTATGGCAATATGGAGAATGGCACATTTCAGAATCATATTGTAGATCATATTGGATTATAATTTGACTGAAACTAACTAAATATTGTAGTTTCGTCAATGTACTATGTCAAACACTCAAATAGTAATATAACTTTTAAAAAGCTTGTTTAAATTAATAGTTTTCTAAAGAAAATGCACCTGGCTGTGAGGCTTCTGTGCAGTTATGTTTGCTTGACCGGCAGGAGAGGGTTAATAGCCCAGTCTTCCGCGTGAGGGGTGTGAACCCTTTCCCACACACTCTCTCACACACGCACACACACCCACATGTAGACGCAGACGACTTGTTTCTCAGCAACGACAGTTTAGTCACCAAGCAAGCACGAAAGGAGACGGTCGACCCTCAACCATCTGCTACAGAAGTTAAAGTAAGTGTTAGCGTTCATAATGTTTGAGTGTGTCTGTTTTAGCTAGTGACGCTGTTTACGCTAAAGGCACGTTAGTTTATAGTTGACGTAAACGTGAAGCGAAAGTCGAGTTAACCTGAACTGATATGAGTTTAAATTGTTGAAGTCCCTGATATGACTTAATGAAATGGCGGGGCCTCGTTTAACTTGTGTAAAAAGTTCGCTGTGTACAGTAGCAATCTGCCGTGTTCACGTCTCAACTGTGTGTGTATGCAGTTTTTTTTTTAACAACTTTGTATGCCATCTGTTAACGCCGGTGTTACGCGGCTCGTATGTGAAGTGTCTTTAAAGAACCTCATAACATAAGTAAACTGATTATGTTAAAACTGTTGTCAAGTGGTCCAAAAACGAAGATGAGCAACCTATAGGATTAGCTTCACTTAATGGAGAGATCGTGAAAAGTAATTATTTTAGTCCAGAGGTGGATAAAGTAAACAGATCCTGTATGGTCTTAAAATACTCCATTACAAGGAAACATAGTGAATTAAAAATGTCAATTAAGTAAAAGTACAACGCGTTAAGCTTAAAATGAAATGAAAGAAAAACAAGTAAAAGTACTCATTCTGCACAATGGCCCCTTAAAGTAACATACAGTATTATTATGAGCCAAATTTAATTAAAGTATCAAAAGTAAAATTGTGCAGAAAAGCTCTTTAAAAGTAAATTTAAAGCCTATTATTTTTATCCTGTTTTCATCACTTGTACAAGCATTTGAATCTTCTGGTTTGTCATTCTGGAACCAATTTTAGAGAATTTGTCAAATACATGAGTGATAGGTAGTGAAGGGTGCTTGAGCTACTTACAGTAGCCTACAAGTAGCTAGTAACTATGAGTGGTAAATACATGTAGTAGAGTACAATATTGCCTCTAAAATGTAGTGGTGTGGGAGTATACAGTAGCATAAAATACTCAAAGTATTAAAAAAAATGAACAAACCCCTATTTTGGATGCTTTGTTGTTACATTCCTAATCAAAATCCCTCTTGAGTTTGTTCTCAGACCCATTACTTTACAACAAAGGGTTCGAGGATGGATCTATAATTATATCAACTTAATGTTATTATTTTATGATATGTCTGTAAGAATGCTTCTTCATTTGTGAGCTTTTCTGAGACATTTCTTTACTTTGGCTATACAGAAGAAAAGAAGGATGCCTCCGTACTTCTTGTGAGGACATTTCCAGTTGCAACAGTGCTCTTTCAGCCGTCTTGCGTTAGTGCCAGCTTTTTTTTAGCAATATTGTGGTTTACGAGCATAAATCAATATCTGAGCAGGCACACCTACTGAAGTGGAAATTATTGTTCAACCCGCTAGTCTTATGTTTCATTTACTTTGACTAGAGACATTATAAGTAGATTGAGATTAATCTATTATGAACTGACAATATTTGAAATGGTCATTTGTTAGCTTTTGGGTTGTGGCCACCTTTCCCATTAGTTAGCCATGTATTTAGCTGCTGAGTGACACGTTTACAAACTATAATATACTGCGGGATTAGTAAATCTTTAACAGATCATCTACCACATCATGTATCTTTGAAAGCCACAGATAGGGGTGAGTTGTTTGATGATGTGCTGAACAACACAGCCTCAAGCGATTAGATAAAGAAGACTCATTGTTGATTTGTAGCACAAATTGGACTTCAAGAGGTAATATTATCATTTGCATCAAGCTATTTGTGACACTACTTTTTTACAACTTAAAACATGGAATCTGTTGTTAATAGTGGACTGAAGAGAGTCACTAAAGCCATCTTATAGTCATATGGCCACCGGTTTATTATCGGCCTTTGTGATTTAAAAGATAATCTGTAATATTTCGTAAAAAAAGATGAATGAAAACCTTTACAGACCTACAAATACTTTGATAATAAAAATGATCACTCTGTCCACATTTTTGCAAACTGAGATACAAAACACTTAACTGAAAGTAGACAACTTCCAGAAATGTACTATATGTGCTAAAGCTGTTTCCTATTCTCAAACATAAATGCAAATGTTTGAGTCACAGGAGAACACGCTGAGATAATGATCTACATCCTGTCTGAACACAGGGACTTACAACATTGTTGCAGATGTTAAAACAGGATTCTGGCATGGTGTTAAGGATTTAGTATCATACGAGTGTATGTAGCGTGATGGCCTCACAGATGTTTAAATGGGTCATATATGAATATAAAGGGAGGAGGTGGTAGACGAAGGTTGGCACATTGCCTTGCTTTGTGTGTACACCAGGTCTGTAGTTGATCCATGCTGGGTCCATTACAGACACTGTTGATGCCATCTGCCACTAATGCTGCCTTCATAATCATATCACTACACCATGCTTGTGTACTGGCCTATTTATGTAGTGCACCCCCATGGAGAAGAATGGGGGCTACAAAGGGGAGACAAAATGACTGCATGGGGTCACAGAGTTTGGAAAGTTCTGGTGACTCATTTGCAGCTTTCTTAAAGAATCCATTATTTTCTGCATGTGGTTTTCACACTTCTAAGCCTCAGCTTACTCATCTTCTTCTCCTCTCACATTGTCTTTTTAATTGAGCGTTAGGAATACTTTCTGTTATACAAGGTTACTGTTTCTTGGAACAGCCGTTTGGCTCTGCTTTGAATTTCCATTGCACTTTCCAGGCTTTATTTTTTACCCTGGAACAGATTTGTCATTCTCTTTGAGGGAGTCCAGTGTGATTGGGTTTGTCTAGGTAGGTTCAGCAAAAAAGAAACGTGTAAAATGGCACCGCAGCTGCAGTACCTGCTTAATGTGTAAGCATGCATGGAAGTCAAAGTATCGGTTTGTGGTTTTGTTTGGCTTTGGAGCAAACCTCAATATGTTCAGTTGGCTGCTTCAGAAAAAGATATGCTTTCCTTTTTATCCTGTTGAATTTGTTGTTGGAAAAATAATAAGTAGCATTTCTTTAGAGTTGTTTTCAGATGGAGGGAGCTCAGTCAACAAACATTTTTTGTCATACAATAACTAAGCTTTTTAACCCCATTGCTGCTCACCATCTAGACACAAAGGCCAACAATCTCCTTTACGGATTATCTGCTTTGCGCTGAGCCCCGTTTAGTTTTGTAAACATGAATTGTGTTGGTATTTAGGTTATCGAGTGCATTAAAAAGCTTAGTATTCGTGGTAATAGTAATAATACCATTAACCTCAGTCGCCTTTTGACAGTCCTGCTATACAGATTGTGTTTTCCAGCCAAGCATGGTGCATTCAAAAAAAGATATGCAGTTTTTATTTACCCATGTAGCTTTTGGTTACTTTTATAACAAAACTTAAGTAACAAGAAAACTGCTCTTTTGATGATAATCAATATCTCAAATGGTATTTCTTTCAATGTTTTATCCCTCCTACTGGTACTGACCCATGACTCTATTTAAGAAGATTAGATTAGATGAGTAATTCTGTTAGGAAAATTGAAGAAATGTGATACAAAAACTGGTTTTAATCAGCAGGCTGAGGTAAAATGAACACATTTGTTTTAAAATACAGAAGTAAACACTATGGTAATATGTCTAAGTGTGTATTTATAATGTGTTGTGATGCATATGTTGAAAGAAAATGGTGACAGGGACATCATTGCTTCCCTTTCCACTTGCATGTTTCAATAGTTACAACACTAACCAACTGAAGGACAACAAGTAAAGCAGTCATATGTGATGAAATGCCACCAAAGATAATATGCAAAGTAACTCAAAATAATTTAACTGGTAATACAACATATAAGTAAAGTAAAAATAATGTTTCATGATGCCAAAATCCCTTTCTCCAGCCGCTTTCTACACTTGCCATCATTTGGAGGGACTTTTTTGTCTTTAATAAAGGAAAACAGTGCTGAGTAGCAGTATCCTTTTACCCTATATTCAGAAATAAAACACAATAAACATCAGGTTTTTGCTTCCAAAAGTAGTATACAGTACATTGTTCAAAATAGAACTAAATACCCAGTATTATAGGCCCGGGCATTGGGAAGAACCTACGGTTTTGATGGAGAAGAGAGCAGCTTGTCATCTTGGGAGTTGTCTCTATAGGTTATTTTCAGACTGCTCAAATAACCACAATGGCTGGTTATACTTTCAGTGCTCCCAGTGAAGGAGAAGCTCTGGTTGTGGTAAATATTTGTATTTTACTTGTGGAGAGAGAGCGTTTCATAGCATGTCCCTACTGAGCTGTATTTGTGTTGCTGGCCTACAGGTGTTAAGGAAAATGTTACTCACAGAAAAGTGACTGAATGCATTCATATGTGTTGGCTTGTGCAATCGCGTATACATCTGAACAAACATGTACATAGACGAATGAGAGGAAAACTGATTGGACAACACTGCAGACCTCAGTGTAACATTCCCCAAACCTAAAACGTCAGATAGCTACAGTTCTGAACTTGCTTTAAGAGTCTGATTCAAAACATTAAAATGTTATTTGTCATTTGGTTGTATGACATCAGTCAGACCTTTTTTAAATATGACTGGATATGGTTTTATAGGCTACTGATTTGGCTCAAAATAGTGAATGAAAGTGATTCCAAAACAATGTGTTGTAACCATAGACTGTTTGGTTGTAACCAGGCTTTTGACTGCTGGTAAACAAAGCTGTAGATGGGCCTGGTTTCTTTCTGCCTGTGATGACTATAGACCGTCTAATCACATGCTGTCATGGTTTCTAAACACACAGTCATCATGACTTCACCTCTCTCCACTTTGTGGTGGTTTCCCCTCAAATCTGTCTCATCCAGGTGGTTCTTCTTGTTGGTCATAACTATATTCGTTAACAAATTGGCCTTCAAAAGCATACTATACTCTTCAAACTCAAGGTTTACAGACAATGGGCTAATTGTCTTTAATACTAGAGCAGGTGGGGTTGTTTAATACTGGCTAATAGTCAACAGGGCTGTTGAAAATGAATTAGGCTTTGAAGATTAAAGCTGTTGAATCAGTCACCCCACTCTGCAGATTTTCCTGTGTCCTTGTGTTGTAGCTTTAGACACTTTCTCAAGGCTAGCTAGCTTTGTTTTGTTATTGTATAACTTCTTCATCTTGTGTCTGGCTTCTCTTTTGCCCCACTACACAGCGATGTAACCCTCTGATGTTTAAATTAACACATACTTTCCATCTATTTCTGTCTTCCAGAAGAAGCGCCACCATGGGGAAAGGATGCATCACAGTCACCAAGTACTTTCTATTCCTCTTCAACCTCCTCTTCTTTGTAAGTCATGACATGTCTTTATCAGTGTTCTGTGTTAGTGCTGCAATAACTGCAAAGCATAGCGTGCGCGCTCAGAAACATGTTGCACGACTTCCACTTTATCTGCTGTATTTACCTCAGATAGAAAGATAGGTGTGCTCTGCTCCTTCAGCTGAATCAAACACTCATGACGCATTCAGAGCAGTTTCATGCCTTTCAGAATGAGCTGTTATTTGAATAAGCCTCCTTGTTCAAATAACAAGAGAGAGAGAGAGAGATACATAGGGACATGTTGCTGACACTATGCCTTGAGGGAAAGACTATACAGATTACCTTTAGCACAGCCAGGTCTAAACAACAGCAGATGGTTTCTGTTTGTTCCCTCCTCTCTCACACTGAAGTCCAGGGCTAGATAAAACCCTCTTAAAGCTGCGAGGATGTCCAGACCTTTCCAATGAGACTGCGGCTGTAAACCTGACGCAGACCTTTTGATGGGAACACTCAACCGGTGTCTAATAGGAAGCGTGTGTTTGTGTGAGTGTTTGTCCATGTGGACGGATCCGACTAGTGAAGCCAGGAAGTGGTGGGCTAATGATGACTGCCGGGAGCTCAACAGTCCCTCAAATGAACAGCTCCTAACCAGTGCTCTAATGACTGTTGTTGTGCTGGGGAGGAGCGGGAGTGGCTGAATTAACAGAACCTGTTATCTATGCATTTAGCCCCCAGTACAGAGCCCCGCCACCTCTAAACAAGGGCCTTCTTAATTACATAGAACTTCATTTCCTCCTTATATGGCTACATAATGGGACATTTTCCGAGGCGTTCCGACGCCAGGGACAAAACTCTCACGTCCAGAGCTGATATTTATACTCTTTTCCTATCATCTTGACCCCTTTATCCTTACTTAACACTGTTCAGTTTGCTGTTCGGAGAAGGATATGGGGGATTTGTAGATCTGTGGCTGGCCGGTTGGTAATTGTGAGAAAACTAGCAGAGTGGGTTTCTTGATCCTCTCAACATCCTCTCTGCATGTTGCTTAGAGAAACACAGATAAGCAGACATTGAGGCAATGTGAAGAGTTAGGATATGATTATTTCCAGATGTGACAGACTGAGGGAGCATAAGTATGGCCCTCTGTTTAACACACCCTAGCACAGATTCTGTGATTTACTTTCAGATGACTTTTGGTGCCTGACTCTTTTCTGTTTCCCCTCCACAGATCTTTGGAGCATTGATCATGGGCTTTGGCCTGTGGGTCCTCTTTGATAACCAGAGCTTCATTGCTGTTCTACGTAAGTGAAGTCACACACACACACACACACACACACACACACACACACACACACACACACACACACACACACACACACACACACACTAGGGCTGCTCAATTAATCGTATTTTAATCGCAATTACGATTTTGGCGATTACGAAAACAACATAATCGAAATATGTTTTTTTTTTTCAGTTGAATTATGCTTAAAGTTCAGGGTAATCAACTGTTAAAAATATACTGTTCAATACATGTTTTAAGTGAGAATTGATCACACACACACACACACACACACACACACACACACACACACACACACACACACACACACACACCACACACACACATACACATACACACACACACACACACACACACACACACACACACACACACACACACACACACACACACACACACACACACACACACACACAGCCACGCCCTTTAGTGATAACATTCAGCACTTTTGACCTATAGCACTTCAGCTGGTAGATAGAGATGGGAGAATGTGCTTGTCAAATGCTATAAACTCGAGCCTGCTCTGCTGAGCTTATGTGGATTTGATCCCATAGGAATCGTTCCCAAGGAACCACGAAGGGATTTTTTCATAACAAACCAAAAATATGACTCACAGATGCAACTTTATGACTTCTTCAGTGATTCAAAGGCTTCCCTGTAGACTCACAGTGATAGACACATCTGTGAAGATCCAGGGGAGGTGATGGCTCACATGTCAATGTATCTTATGTCAGTAAAAAGCAGCTTTATTTCCCCACAGTTTCCACAGAGTTGTACTTTGAACTTGCCAAGTCTGCCAGCTCCCCAGATGGCAGCAGTGTACAGATAGATTCTCCCACCTTCACAGATGTTGGCACAGATGTATTGGTAAAGTCTGCATGCTGAAGAAGAAGCCAAGCCTTCCGAACGGCACTCAGCTAAGAGACAAAGTTATCAGCTTTGTCATAGAAAACAATATATAAGTTATCTGCTAGGAAGACACTAGAGAAAATATAATGAAACCCAGTTGAGGCTGAGCAAGGACAAGGAACCACGGATGGAAACTCTTAGTTGCCATAAATCTGGTTATAAATGCTTTCAGTGTATTCATCCCAGATGGAGCTTTGCCGAGAGCAGCAGTGAGGTTTTTTTCCCAACATCAGTCTATAAAAAAGAATTCCTTTCAATTTATTATCTGGCAACTTAATATGTGTTGGAAGTCAACTATAGCGTTTATTTCAATAAAACTGTGATACCCTTCTGGTATAGGAGATGGGCATATGACGCGGGTCGCAGGACTACATCTGACGATAAGGGTTAACACATTCAGATCAACCCCCAGATGTGTTTATAACATCTGTACTGTGCCAATCTGAAAGACTTATGAGACTTACTGGTCTTTCACTGTATATTTGAATAGGAGTAAATCACTGGATTGAATCAAGGAGAAGCTATTTTGATTATTGACGGTTGTCTAATTGTTAAGATGCCAAAATGTGAGGATTTGCTGCTTTACTATATTGTAAGTAGAAGTTGCTTTTTTTTTTTTTTTCTGTTTACAATCCATAACTTTGGGAGGTCTTATTCAGACAAAGGCCAATCTCTTGAGCAGAAATGGAGGAATCTATATTTAGTCTGGAAGTCTGCGCTGCTTTGACTGATGAGTTGTGAAGAGGCTGAAGTTATGACGAAGACCAACCAGAACTGCCCTTGTGTCCTAAACTAGTCGGACTGAGTCTTGCTTTCCGCTGGCTCATGTTTCAGCCCCTGAGTTTACTTCTCAGGGAGGAATCACCGCAGAGTTATTACTGAGCAGAGTCTACTTATCTCCAGAGTGTAAAGGCTCTACAGTATCCATCATCCCTGCCCGCCCCAGTCCTATTGTTGTGAGAATCCAGCTGTTCCTCCTGAGGATATCCCTTCCTATGTGAGGCTTGATGGCCTTCTCGTCTCCGTTTATTATTGTTGTGTAAATCCGGAGGGGGGGGTCAACTTCAACTCTTAACTGCATCCTTGAATTTGTAACCTCACTGGAAATCTCCTACCACTCTGTAAAGGAAAGAAAAAAGCTGCAGGCATCTCTGTTTATTGACTCTGTGTGTTCCCCTCAGAGGTTTTACCATTGCCTGACCATAAACAGGATCTCTGTGTTTTCAGTTTCCATTCTTTATGAGTTATATTAATAGATGACTCTGCAGCTGTCCCAAAGACCTCAGGGAGGGGAACTTTGGGGAATGTTTTGGTTTCAGGACCTCCATTTCTCAGTTAAAAGGCCATCTTCCCCTTAGTGTTCACCCCTTCATATAAATACAGTGATGTTATTAGTTTACCTCATTGACATGGTACCTTCCGTTTATCTTTCTGTCGCTTGCCAAAACACAGCTTGCCTTATGTTTAAACAAAAGTCAGCTCTGGAAAGGAGGTCTGGGAGCCAGAGCCGGAGCAGTTTGGAAATATGCTGCAGATTAATTCTGAAACTTTCCAAAGTCATGAACAAAGAACCTGGTTGTAAAAAGCATCTTTATTTGGGACACTTAAACTCTAGAAATTATGCACAAAGCTGGTCTGCTGATGTTTACATTTTTTGAACCTGTGCAAAATGTCAACCGTTACCTTTTTTCAGCTTTATACAAATTGAATGTGTGGCTCTGGTCATGTTTACAGAAGGACCTGCAATACCAAACAGTCCCTCCTTCTCCTCTTCCTGCCTCAGCAGCTTTCTTAAAGGGCACCATCTTTCTTTCGTCTTGAAATGGAAAGTTCTGTGGAAACCACCTGAGGAACTATTTCAGAATAACTAGCAGCGACCTACATGGAAATGTGCCATGGTGAATGGCAGAACAGCACAGTAACCAGGGGAATACATGCTGACTTTAGAAAAAGTGCATGTGTACTAACCACAAAGCAGAGAAAGTTGTAAAGTACACCCTCTGTTGCTCTTCAACTCTGATGTACTTGACAGAGGCTCTAACAGGAAACATTTTTTTAATTTTAAAATAAAGATATCAAAATAAAGCTGCAGCTGTGCAAGTTTGCCTTTTCCACAAAACTGCCCTGTCCATATGCAAGAATAATAGCTATGTAATAAAAAATAGGAACTTTCTGTCTACAGAGAAACACTACAGGGCTTTTTAAAATTGAAACAGAAAGGGTTGAGTTAGAGTAAATAATATATATTTTGTATCATGTCTGTTACATATTCTATGAGGTGTAAACATGTCTGTTCATCATGTTTTCACACCCTGCCTATGTGACAGCTCTCGCCTTTTAACATGGCCAGCCGGTAGCTACTGATTCTACATGATGTGGGAGGAGATGGTCCACAGATTTAGATGTATTGCCATAACATGCCAAGAAAGTCTACTGAACGTAGTCACAGCTGAGAAATGTTTGAGAGTGCATTCGAATTGAACAACGTTCCCTCCTTCTCCAGGGAGTATGTTTTAACTAATGTGTTTGTTTAATCTTGTGGCTGCAGGGAAACCACACAAAACACATCTTTCTCACTTATAGTTCAAACTGTTCATCGCCCTTATTAAATAACTTGTGATCTACTTGTGAAAATATCTAATGAAGTTCCTCTGGTGACATCTCTATAATGTTGAATTTGCCTTTAGTGTAGTGAAACAGTTCTGCCTCACATACTGGAACTAATAACTATAAATAAAGACATGAAGTAGTATCGAGCAGAATCAATGATATCTTCAGAAACATCAATACTTCCTCTATTCTATCTCTGCTGTAGATAATGGGCCTGTGTGTGTGCTTGTGTATGTTTAGATGGGAAAGTAAAATAAAATTAAAATAACATGCTTCAACAGAATGCTGGATATAGAACATACTCTGTGCTTGTCTGCCTCCCTTTAAATGCTACCCTGTAGCCACATACACTCTCTGCGTATGTTCACCGACGTTCTTCTAGCTTTCAATTATTCTCGTACCGCCACAACATGTGTTGCTCCGTTAACATATGTCAGCGACGTAAATGCATGTAATAACGTCTTTGTACCGTATCTATATTTTGTCTGAATTTTAAATTAGCATGTTTATTTAAAGTGTCTCAGTACACTGCACCATCTATGTACAACATATGCAACCAACCATTTATAATAACAGAATCATAATTAAGCCCAAGATGACTTAGAGATGTCCTATTTTGGTCCAATCTAAAGTCCAAAAACAGCTGATTTCCAGAAAATCCATTGTCGTCACTTTACAGAAGTTGGAAGTAGAGGGTTGTTTTTGATGAAGTTATCTTTCTGTGGACTGATTGAAGTAGTTTCAACTCTAGCTAACGTAAATAAGTGGGTGTCCTTTTCACAGAGTTTATTGAAATATACTTGTATTGTCCTTGCTTCAATTAAAGCAGTCAATTGATGTACGTAATGCATAATACAAAGAAAATACCTATGGAATAACACATATCCGGTAATGAGGCGAGCTGCTAAATATATATTCACCTATAGATGTTTCAGAGAATCAATACGTTTTCAGTTTTCATTTATTTATGTCTGCTTTCAAGTGGAAAGCTTTCAAATGAACTTCCGCCCAACAGATTGCTTATTTACCTTTGGAAGAATAACAGCTTGCATCCTGTGATAATGAGTGTACGTGATGGAGTATAAAGACTGAGCATGTCTGCAAAGTGAGGTGGTGCCTGAGCATGAAGCAGGACTTTCTCTTGGTTCATTTACAGTACGTTTCAGACAGTAGAGTTCCCCAGTCTTTGGAACAATACATATTCATCGTACATATGCCATACTGTACATGATGATTGCTGCATGTAGCATCAGCAGCCAATGGGATGATAAAGGAAGCATCATTGCATAACAGTCATTGGGTCTGTCAGCTTCTTCACTGAATAGATGGGGCTGAGTTATCTGATAGCTCTGACTGCTGTGCTCGGCCCAGGAATCTTTTGGAGCTGGAGCCATTTCACAGAGCTCCGATTCTGGCTTCATCTGCAGACGCTCTGACTCTGGAGCTCCTCGAGCGGAGATAACACACAGCCACATAATGGCTCCAGTTGATCTGCTCTCCAGCCCCCCCCAATCTTCCATTTTCAGTAGTGCCCCCTCCTCCTCCTGAAGCCCTCCCGCTCTACATACCAAAGAGGGAAATCAATTAATCTCACCGCACATTGGTCCAGCTCTCTCTGGTGGCCTATTAAAATGATCTTTTGTGGCAGAAAAACTAAAAACCTTCTTGAGAGAAGAAGAAGAAGAAGGCTTGCACGTTGAATCATTTGTTTGGCTTCCTGTAAGAATCAAAATGGTTTTGCATGCCTTCCTCTCGGCTGCATTTGTTTGCAGGCCAAAGTAGAAAAACAAGAGCAAAGGTCTGCTGCAGTTATTCTATCATGGAACAAAATGTGTCGTGCATTGTTTTTGCTAACTGGTTGTGTGTTGTGCTACGTGTAACTGAACATGACTACACACTTCACTTTGAAACTGTGGTAGTGCAGGTGTTCAGTTTGCAGCACACATATCGTTTTGAGTGGTTTTGTGTTTTTAGTTTACCTCTTCCTCCTGTCTGTTCACACCTGTTTCTTCAGAGGAATCATCAGACACAGTGAAAGTGGCCTCCTACATCCTCATCGCTGTCGGCTCCTTGTCCATGGCCATGGGCTTCTTCGGCTGCATAGGAGCCATCTACGAAATCCGTTGTCTGCTGGGTTTGGTGAGGAATGATATTCACTTTGAGCTCCAATGCTAACATGCTACAGATTGGTCTTCTTTCTTAGAAGCAGGAACAGGGTGAACACCCCCACCACTACGAGATGAGGCAATTTAAAACTTATGTAAGATCTAACATATGAGTCATTGTCACACAGGAACTACATGTCCTTTTTTTGACACAGAAAATAAATTGGTTTTAATATAAATGATAGAAGTCTGGCAGGGGAGTCCTTCCTCATCTCTCTCTGTCTCCCCTCATATCCGGTTATCTCTTCTCCAAATGAAGTATCTAAATAAATCCATAAAATGCACCAAAGTAATACTTAAAAAAACTCCCAGTAGTGTGTGGCCCTCTAATCCTGCAGAGAGTTTGGAAACATTCACCTAAATGCACCTGCTTAAGACCTCGGGCTTGGCTAAGAACACATGACAGATTCCTTCTGACAGTAAAGCCCTTTCGCACTTGTGCTTATGTGTGGGCTGGGGGGCTCGCAGCATGTGTGGATTTACAGAG